GTGGGCTCCAGGTGTGACGGTTCGTGAACTGTGACAGGGAGCTTCAAAATAAGTAAATATGCTGCACCAATTATCTTCAAATCATGAAGCTGAGTAAAAGTACACGCACGCACGCACACACACACACACACACACTCTTTAACAAGCATTTTCTGAGCTCTCTGGGCATCCAGCAATTTGGGGTTGGTCTGTGACATCGTGGCTGTCAGGAAGCATTTCTGTGATGCCAAAAATAGCGAGCTGCAGACGCATTTGAGAAGCTTCCTAAAACAACCGGAATCCAAGATGGAAACCATCTCCCTGCTTTTGTTCCTCTGATTTCACTAAAGCAGCTCCTGTGAAAATCAGAATTCCTCACTCGTTAGTTTTTGATCATCAGAAATAAGTATCTGTTTTAAGCTTCCAGTAGATGATGTTCAACTGATTCCTTTAGATGAAGCTGGTGTTGATCCAGGCAGGGAACAACATCCATCAGTGTGTGGACAGAACACCTGCAGAGCCGCTGGTAAGTCAAAACCTGAAACAGACTCTGTCCTTATCAGCTCTCGTCCACATGGGATGAACTGCCTTGGTCCATTCCATCCTGCTGCACACATCAGATGCAGGTATGTTATTCCTGGTAAAACATCCTGTAAACTGCTACCAAGCTCTTGGGATCCTGAAGCTCGACACCAAACAGTGTGAGAACTCCTTTGTTTTCCCACTGTGCTCATTATAGGAAATCTCTCAACCGTGAAATATTGCTGGCAGGGGACTAAAGTATCTGAGAATGTCACACGGATGCTGGGAAAGAGCCTTTACCAGTGTAAATAATGTCATGAAGTCTTTTAGAAAGGAATGAAACAAAATACAGTTTATTGAAACTTCTTAAAATGCTGCATGTTCTTCATTTCTAAGTTGAATTCTTAAATTTTTGCCCTAAATATGCAACATCTGGATCTTCAGAAGACAAGTGCATTCGTCTGCTCAAGGGGTTGATTTAATGACAAAAATAAGATGCTTGGCACAGTGCATCTCTTTTGATCTTTTTGTTGAGATGATCTAAACAGAAATGAATAAAGAAACCAAACAAAAGCTGGAATACACACTCATGTAAGAAAACAGTGTTAAACAGTGCAAAAGCCCATTTTGAACACAGTGTTAGCTCATGGTTCACATGGATGAAACCACAATAAGACCAATGACTGACACAAGGTCAAAGACAAGTCACCACAAGTTGGAAAAATATAATAAAATAGATCATTTACATTTTTTATGTGAGACAATATTTATAAAAGTCTGCTCTGCTGCCGTGATTGTCTCTCATATCAACACATTATAAATAAACCCCACTGACACTGCTTGGTGCCACCTATCAGTTATACTTTTATAATCATAGTTTTGAGTTATCTTAAGTTCCATTATCATTCTTCACCTGACATGATGAAATAAATGTGTGTGATGTTTGCTAAGGCTCTAATTCTGATGTCTAAAACAACATCTAATTCAAGGGATGAGCCAGTGTAGTTTCGACACATAACAGAAAACCTAAGGGGCTTAACAAGCTACCAGAGGATTCCAGCACCAACAAAGCAGCTATCAAAGACTTAGGGTGTTCCTCAATGCCAAGGAACCTCGCCTTGATGTCTTGGCCCCGCCGCGGTTGCCTAGGAGATACATCATCAGAAGCCGCCAAGATGTGTTCCAATGTTCATGTTCTACCGAGGCATGTGTTCTCCGTTTGTTAGCCGTTTAGCTAGCTGTGCAAGGATACACGAGAGGTGTCTTGTAGCCTAGACTTGGTGAAAAATGACCCAGAATACACCGCGTTATTTTCAAAACGATGGCGGATCAGAAGCCGGTAGCTACTTCGGGGTCACATTTCAAGTTTAAAAGTCAACTCATTTAAAATGTTTTTTCTTTTTGTTTTTTAGATCCAAAGAAGTTATCTAGGCTGCACAGTTGCACAGTGGTTAGGGCTGTTGGCTTGCAGCGAGAAGGTCCTGGGTTCGCTTCCCAGCCTGGGATCTTTCTGCATGGAGGTTGCATGTTCTCCCTGTGCATGCGTGGGTTCTCTCCGGGTACTCCGGCTTCCTCCCACAATCCAAACACATGACTGTTAGGTTGATTGGTCTGTCTAAATTGTCCTTAGTTGTGAGTGTGTGTGTGATTGTTTGTCCTGTGTGTCTCTGTGTTGCCCTGTGATGGACTGGCTCTCTGTCCAGGGGGTACCCCGCCTATTGCCCATTGCCCGCTGGAGATAGGAACCAGACCCCCCCCCCCCCCCCCCCCCCGACCCTACATGGACAAGTGGGTTCAGAAAAAAATGGATGGATGGAGAAGTTATTTATGGTTGATTAGTTGCTTACCAGTTGCAACTTCTGTGGCTAGCGGGTGGTAACTCACTTATATATTTAATTTAACAAATATACGCACAATTTAAAAAGTAAAAGGCTCGTTATATATTTATATTGAAACTAATATGTATAAAATATAACGTTATCTCCCGTGTCACGTGACGTTGCGTGACCGCTGTGGAAGCCGTGGTCACGTGATGCAAGTCTGTTCCATTTAACCGTTTTCTTTGACCAAGGAAGGACGGTGTCCTCACAAGCAAGGCGCCTGGCCTCACAAGACATCGCCTCACAAGACCAGGCGCCTTGACATTGAGAAAGACCCCTGGTCTTCCTTTGTCCTCCATTTGTCCCGTTTGAGCCCACTTTCTGTTGAAATGCTGTTGGTTCAGCTTCATTTTATTAATTATTTTAAAAATAATTTGTCACTCTGAGTTTTTCAAATAGTCTGAACATGAAAATAGTCTCCTACACCTATCTCCTGCATTAGCTTCAGATAGAAAACAGATGGTGAAACTCTAGGATTAGAAAAGACTTATAGATCTACATCACACTGTCACCTAACATTCATGGACTCACCCATCTTGACTCACAACGGGGAAGGCTGTTGTTGGTTTAGCATCCAGGAAAAAGCAGAGAACGTCTCGGCTAGTAGAAGCTAACCATTAGCATTAGCAACTCCACCACACAGCACAACTCCTTCAGCCTTGTTTTATTTGTGGAGATGAAACATCAGTGTTGCAGAGCAACCTGAGTCAGTGGTAGATTTGTGTTTTCAATTCAATTCAAAAATACTTTATTAATCCCAGAGGGAAATTGATTTGCTGCCAATCAGAGTTGCTCACCAATCAGAGGAGAGACGTCCAAATATCAGGAAATAAGATTCCAAATCCTGCTGTCTGAAGCTACTTTGTCCTCCAGCTGACTTTTACGTCCTCAAACAGGTCCTCAAACACATCTGAGCTGTTTTACCCCAGAGTACGATTTACAAGTCATTCATTCCTACTGGAGACCACTACAAATGTATAGAAAATATGAGAAAAGCTGACTTTTAAGTTTTATTTTGTGTTTTTCACTCTGTTTATTTTTTGCATTAAAAAAAATACTAAAGAATTAGAAAGAAACTATTCTTCGTTGTGACTAGTAGTCACAGCGTCCCAGAAGAAAAGGTTTACTCTCATCAGTCAACAGTGGAGATAACATTGGCTCATCCCTTGAGTTAGGGGTTTTGGTGATGGAAAAACGACTTGCTGGTTTGTGTGACAGGACAAATGAAAAACATTGTTCTGAAACCATAAAGGTACATGTGATGGATAGATGAAAGTCCACCAGCATTAAACAGCTGCTTGCAAACCGGATTCACCATGAAGTCCTTTCAAAGTGATCACATATGAATACGTTCTGAACTGGTGTTAAACTGCTCTAATAAATAAAAGTTCTCTAGATTTCTAATCCTGATCAAAGACGTATTCATTTAGAAGAAAACCTGAAACTGAGGAACGTTCAAGCTCATCCTACGGATCTATATCCACCATCTTTAGAAGCCCAGGTACATTAGCTCTTCTTACTGATGGAGGACTCATCAGCACTGCCATGTTGTATTTGTAGGTGTAAAAGACCTGCTTTAAAGAAGTAATTTAAATACTTTAAACTAAATAATGTTTCATATTCAAACTCACATCGAGGTTAAAACTTTATGAATAAACTAAAAATAGATCCAACATAAGGAAAAAGGATTCACGCGGAGGGGCTGGGACTGCAGCCAACCACTAGAGGGCACTCGTTTTATTTTGGATTTATTATCTGTAGTTTGTTCCTGAGTCTCGATAATAATGGTTTCATTATCTAAGTCAAGTATGATCATGCGAGCTCGGACTGGATAAGCTAAGCGTTAACTGATTCCCAATCAAATCATGTGTATTTTGGAAATCATTTAAAGGTTTTAACAAGTTATAATAATTTTATGGTTCGAACAAAATATGTTCATGAAATTGTGCAAATTCACTCTAACATAAAGGGATCTCACCAGCTCTATTATTTCAGTTTCAGTACCTTTCAGAACAAGCTGTTTCAGGGCTCTGTCACTTTAAAGAAAATACACCTTTTGGGCCACGCCCACCTATCACCTGATTGGCTGCTACATGTTGAGGATTTCAGATATCTACAAGGTGCTCAGAGTAGAGTTGCTGCTCCTCCAGAGTCGACAGGTGGGACAGAGGTGGGAGGGTCTGTGTCGATATCCCTTATTGTGACATCACAATAAAGGACCTTTTCAAATGACTCGTAGACGCATACGATGGTTTTCTCATGTCTGGAGCATTTTTGGGGGCAGCAGAGACCAGCTTTGGGATGTTAAAGTGACTTATGCATGTCCCCTTTAATAGATCAAGGGCTGAACTGAATGAGCTCCAGGGTTCAGAAGTGTCAGAAGAGAAACAGGTGAGCTCCGGCATGGCACAATGAAGAAGTAGATGATGTCACGAAATCCACCAGAGAAGGCTGGACTAAAAGAGGCAGTAACTACGGCAACAGAAGAATGGGTGTGCATCACAGGAGAAACAGAAGCTAGGGTCTACCACAGAGGACAGGGACCAAGATGCAGAGTGTGTTGTAGACCTTCAGCAACACGTGGGTGTAGATGTACAAATGACAGCATCACAGGACGTACACTTAGCACAAAGTTAGCATAACAGAGAAAGGAAAATTTAATCTTTCTAAAACATTTAAACATCTCAAATGACAAAGTATATTTCTAGACAGGTCCACAGCTCTGAAGTAGAAGGTGGTTGAACATTTCACCTCCGCTGTGTCGCGACTGTTGGTGGATTTTCCTCCCAGAATGCATCAGAGGTTTCAACTTCTGCATCATGCTTCGGGTTAGTGCACCTTCAGGGTTGTGATTAACAAACAGCACCCTTTGGTAGATGAGGTCAGGAATGATGGGACCTTCTGCTCGATAATAAGAATCATCATCATCATCGTGTAACTGCTACCATCGTGACTGCTTCAATAGAAAGAGCCTCCCTTACTGGTTTATCTGGTTCCACTCCATCGTGATGCATCCACACACAGATTAGCAGCTTTAAGATATTAGTCACAAAGCTGCTCTTCCCCCACAACCAAAGTTCTGGACACCAAAAGCAGCTGCTGCAGCAGCAATGAGAAGGTCAACTGTAAAATGCATCAGCCTTGTCCTTTAATCCCTCCAGACCAGTTTGATCGTCCTGTGCTGAACCGACCAGCAGCTTCTGAAGTGTAGTCACTGAAGTGTACTCTAGATGTCCGACTGGTTTAAGCGTACGTATCTCCTGATTTGAGCGCCACCAGCTCCGAGTCCTCTGTGTGGCGCCCGTTCAGGTGCTCCATGTTACAGTCATGGTGGTACGTGAAGGAGGGCACCTCGGTGATGGAGGTGGCCGTGTACGACGTGGAGCGCATCGAGCAGTGGTCCTTTCGTCTCTGACCCCATTGGGTTTTGCACTGCATCCACTGTCTCTTCAGAACTGCCTGCACCTGGATGACACACACACACACACACACACACACACACACACACACACACACACACACACACACACACACACACACACACACACACACACACACACACACACACACACACACACACACACACACAATCAAGATTATGTTGTATTTTTCCCACAAATGTCTTCAACCGCTCGATGCAAATGTACCAGAAACCAAAAACATTTCTCAGATACCCCAAACCCAAAAACGTCTTCGTCTGCTCTTGCTTTGACCGCCAAATGATTCCAGCAGACATCTAAACTGACACACGAATCAATATGTGGTAACGGTAGGAGGTGACAGACACAGAACCCGTGTGACCGCCGTTTGTGATGACATTAATCAAGCTGACACTGATCTGTAGCCATGCAGGTTTTCATCTTCCTAACCCTCTGAAATAACCGAGTCACATATTAAACTATTGATGACGCTCTGTTCCAGAGTCAAAGACACACTTGGAGCATCTCTCTGAGAGCGTTTGACGGAAAACACATGAAGCCACTTCTTTTTGTAAAACTTCAGATTTTATTACTAACTTAATGACATTATTAGAGTAATTTCATAAAAATCACTGTTTGGTGATAAATCTGAAAATCAGGGATAAAACTCAATCTACCAAACATAACATTTAACAGAGAAGCTAACAGAGGTTTTTCTTGTTCAGCTGACAAGAATACAGAAGTGTTATGTTTTATTGAAACCAACATACATAAAAACTAAACCACTGAAAACCTCTGACGTGGCATGCCACCGACAGGATTCGTTAGATTAAAACACAAATACGAGAGTTTTGTTCATCCTCCACTAACTTGGACCTGAATCCACTGAGATGATTGGAGATCAGATGAATAAAGAGTGAGCATCCCTGCCGTGATCAATACAAGATCTTTTGCATTCAAATCTTGAAACTATATATAATGGGCGTGTTGTAAAAGTGCAATTCCTCCATTCAGATTCATATCTTTACTTTTAAAGCAACATCAAGCAAACCTCTAATGATTGTTTCTCTCTAAACGATTTAATCCTGCTATCCCAATGATGTGGACTCTCAGCCATCCTGGACAGGGTGAATCCTAGGGTTGTTCTTGTGTGTTGGAGCTGAAATGTAAGAATGAAGTAAGAATGACATTCTGTGGTCAAATTCCAGTGCTGCATTCCAATTTTTTAAACAAAAGTTTTACTTTCTCACTCCTGTTCTGCGTTTCGTGGCTGTTGCCAGTTACAGATCAGCGCCAGAAGATTCTAGATGACAGAAAATGAGTAACTAAGTTGATAAGTGGATGAATGCTGCTACCAAAAGTGCCAGCACTAGTGGGCACTCACTAGTTATTATGGTGGCATGCCTCCGGCATAGAGGACGACTCGTTAAGGGAAGTAACGCGTCCCAATTGATTCATTATTCATTTCACACACACACACACACACACACACACACACACACACACACACACACACACACACACACACACACACACACACACACACACACACACACACACACACACACACACACACACACACACACACACACACACACACACACACACACACACACACACACACATTTCGCTGTAATATCAAGTTGTTGATGACTGAAAAAGCAGCTTGAGATATTTTTAGAGCTGATTATTTGCTTCTAATTCATTGTTAGCATCGTTAGGTCAACTTTAGCCTCTAGCTTGCATCACCTGATATTACCAGGGTATCTGCAGGTTTAAGGGAGCCAAATTTAAGACTTTTTAAGACCTTTTTAAGGCCACTTTGACCAAATTTAAGTAATTTTTTAAATTAAATCTAAGCTATAATTTCCAGCTATTGCCCGGAACCGGTGCTAACCACCCTGCGAACGTGGGCGTAACCATCCATTTACCATTAAACTTGCACTTCCCCATGGCGCAAGCTCCCACTCGCTTAACCAGCTAATGTGCTCATCTAAAAATAGCCCCCTTTCACAACCAACTGAATGTGTACGGTTCCGCTTACGCCAACAACACACACGACAAATGCTGAAGACTAACTAGAAATTCACGAAAAAGTCATAGAAATAAAATAATCTAGTTTATTGGGTCTTTGGTAATTTAAGACCTTTGGAAACTGTATTTAAGGATTATTTGTCATTTTTAAGGATTTTCAAGGCTTTAAATTTGGAAAAGTAAGTTTAAGACTTTTTAAGACTTTTTAAGGACCCGCGGATACCCTGATTACCAGAGGTGTGACCAAGTCACTGCTTTGCAAGTCACAAGTAAGTCACAAGTCTTTCCAGTCAAGTCTCGAGTCAAATCCAAGTCAAAGACAAACAAGTCCAAGTCGAGTCCAAAGTCAATGATGTGGAAGTCCAAGTCAATTCCAAGTGCTTAACTTTGAATTTTCAAATCATAATCAAGTCATCTATCCACCTTCAATTTAATGACAATGATAATAAATAAATTCCAGAAATAAAGCTTCTTAAAGCTTCATTTATTTGCTCAAACAAGCAGAAAGTGCAACTGAACTAGATTCTAAACAAAGTGCTGCTGCATTTAGCGGTAAATCACACCCAGAACGAAGAATGATTCATGATTTTTGTCCATGTCGTGCCACTTTTGTGCTAAAATATCAAATATGCTCAAGTCATCATCAAGTCAACAGATACAAGTCAGTTCAAGTCGCAAGTCATTGGTGTTCAAGTCTGAGTCAAGTTGTAAGTCTTTATAGAGTTTATCAAAACAAGTCAAAAGTCATTCAAATAATGACTCGAGTCCAAGTCATGTGACTCGGGTCCAGACATGTGACTCGAGTCCAGACCTCCGGATATTACAGTGCATTCACATCTGGGTTGGTTTGGTCTAGCCCTGCTAGGGTCATTGTGAACACATCTGGGTAACCTGTGCATGCCCAGTCGACTGTTTTTGTTTTACCTGCTCCCTGGTGGTCAGCTTGGTGAGAAGCCAACCCAACACACCCACTTCCAACTGACTGGCTGGCTGAAGTTCACGCCTGCCTACTAGAGGGAGTCTCTAATTGGTGAATGGAATCAGCCAGCGGCGGCTTTTCACATGTGTGAGTCTGAATGCACTCTCACTGCAGCTCGGACCTGGCGCTCCAGCCGCATTGGTGTGAGGACAGACAGGTGGCAGCTGTGGCTACACTGTTACGCATTGCCACTGTGTGTGAATGTGTGTGTGCATAGATAAATGAATGTGTTGTAAAGCACCTTGAGGGGCTATATCAAATGCAGGCCCTATTAGAGTAAAACAAAAAGATGCCGTGGATTCTTAGGCCTACAGGAAGTAACTTCTGGGTCACTCCCATTTACTGACTTTGGTTTTTAAAACAACTCTGGAGCTTTTGCTAGCCGGTGTTGAATTACAAATACTGGCACAGCAGAGTTAGATCGGCACAGACTCGATAACCTCATGGGCTCACAGTCTGTAAGCAAAAACCACCTCCCTCTGGCAATTTTAAAGGAGAAAAACTGACAACCCTCCAGCCAGCTAACCTTCCTTTCTTTGTTTGTGATTATTTCACTGTAGGACATATTGCTCCTTTAATGCATCAGGATCTGCTAAAAATCTGGTTCTGTGTAGTCCCATGAAAATTTGTGCTAATGATGTCTGCAACCAACTAAACCACCTCTCGGGTGTTTAGCAAAAATTTGTCTACACTAATGATACTGTGGTGAGTGGTGTTGTGGAGAGAGGTGAAGGTGAGAGTGGATGTGATCCCACTTTGTTGTAGGAAGATTGATTTTATTTCCTTGCTGCAGTTTTTTGTGATTCTTTACAGCCGGGGACAGAAAATCACAAGACTATTACTACTATTGTTGTGCAGAAAATTGCAGCAACTGCCCAAAATATCACTGCAATTACCTGTACCACCAGCACAAGCCCTGTAAAGGTGACCACTGCAGCGCCACCGCAGCATTCCTTTTACCTCAGAAGTCAGACCTCAAAGCTGGGAATGAAATCAACTTAAAAGTTTTTTAGCTGCAAGTCTAAAAAACTGAAGGATGAGAATCGTTGCTATCAACAATTCAATCTAGTGACATTTGAATGGCACCCAAAGCTTCTCTAATACCACGTGTGCAGCTGATTTCACCAGATACAAACAAAACAAAGTGCAAAAAAACTACAAAAAGAAAATCTTTGCAATATTTCAGGTATTTCTCATAATGTCTAATTCAGAAATGATGTTTTCCAAAGTGGCAAAGGGAATGCACACACACACACACACACACACACACACACACACACACACACACACACACACACACACACACACACACACACACACACACACACACACACACACACACACACAGATATCCCTGCAGGTTCTTGAGGTTTTATCTTTATCAGAAGTGATCTTTAACATGGATTTAAACAAACCTCCACTCAGACAACTCTAGTAAAACCAAGATCACGTTTATAAAAGCCCAACACATGCAGGACTACATGTGGAGAGGTGGCAACCAGTCTGCAGCTGTGGAATATTTCATATAATGCACATTTTAAACTTACTTAATAAAAGCTTTATGTCCAAAAATACAATTTTTAAATCAGATTAATCACAGGGTTGTTGTGGATTCATTCATGATTAAATATCAGTCATTATCAGCAGGTGGGCTTTTTGTAAACTTATTTTATCTGCATGTCCAAAAATCCCATTAAACTCTTTTAAGAGTGATCCCATCTCCCTCCCTCTAAAATCCGTCTTAGCTCACACCTGAAAAGACTTCTTATTTAAAGCAGCTTCTTATCATACAACAAGGGCACCTGGCTCCAAGCATAAGGGTCTTTTGATTAGTGCTTGAATTTCTGGGTCTCGAACCAGAGGCGGAGCTTCACAAGTATCAACTGTCGTGCAAAATGAGGTTATTACCATGGGTCACATTTTCATCTGTAAAGTGAAGATGAGTCTGATTTGGTTGGATTGTCCTAGTCTGATGGTTTCAAACTGCAGCACAAAACTGTGCATTCATTTAGTTTCGGAGCTACACTTGTTGC